AGCCAAGGTACGGGCCCAATCTACGCCCAAACGACATAACATCGTTCAGCCAAACAAGCACGAACGACAGTGCCCGACATGAACACCTCAATCGAGCTCCACTGTCGAAGTACCCACGTGGGAGAACACCCAACTCGCGATGGGAAGTTCACGCCACGGGCAAGCAACCCCGAAATGGGTCATACGCCCGAGCAAGCGGCCTTACTCTGCACGACCGACGCATTTCGAAGTACGTCGGACCACCAAATGGGTCGAAAGAATCTCCACTCGAGGACGTAACTTAGGAAAATTTTGCCACAAAATAACAAGTCGAGCACAAGCATGCCCCGAGGAAAATAACAGACAAATTTCGCCACAAAGTAACAACCGAGCACAAGCGAGACTCGGGGACATAACTTATGCAAATTTCATCACAAATATAAAAACTTAGACACGAGCAAATATTAAAGATCGAAATAAACATCCATTCAAAGGCTCGTAAGTAAAAACAAATAAAAATAAACCGACCAAGAAGGACGGCGATGTTCATAAATTACAGGCACGGGCACGCAGGCCCCAAAAAATATGCACGGGCACGCAGGCCCCAAAAACAACTACCAATAAACAGGCGCTCAGGCCCGACCAGAATTCCACGGCTAAACTTCCCTGGGGCTACCAGCATCCATGATAGGAGACTCAGAAGGAGGCATGACCTGGCCGTCGATGATCTGGGACATGAAACCCACCCCCTCGGTATTCAGGCCCGGATTCAATAAAGTGAGCTGGCTAACCGCGGCCTCAAAACCATCTGCCAAGGCGCCAACACAGTCCGTTTCGAGGAGATGGATACGTGCGACCAGATCTGAGCGACTCCGCAAGGGGGCTGTCTCCTCCGACTCATCTTCAACGGGAAGCATGGAGGCCTTCAGATCCTCGACTTCTTTAGCCAGACGCTTGTTGTCGGCCTCCAAGCGCTTCCAGTCCAGTCAGAAACAGTCCCTCTCCTCGGAAATCTTCCCCGAGTTTTCCTTCTCCATGGCCAGCAGCCCAGCTTGCTCGCGGAACATCTCCTCAGATCGCTCCAGAGCAACCTTCAACTTACGAGAGATGGCGGTGAGGGCAGCTTTTTCCAGCTCCAGTTCCCTGACGCGGTCAGAGGAGTCCGACCCCTCCTCAGCGAGGACAACGACCATCTCGGCCATCTTGACCATCCCGACCATACTGGCGGCCAGGTGTTTTCTCCAACTCTCCTTGTCGAGCCTCCTGATGGTCTCAGCCTCCTCGACACTCACTGTCAAGGGAAACCCCTCGAAGAAACCTTCCTCTTTAAAGCAGGGGGGCAAGCCAAAGGCCCTCACCGCGACAGACTCGTCGCCGACTTCCGATTGGTTCTCTACCCGGTTTCTCTTCCTCGTTATCAGCTCAATAGGCTGCTCGACGTCAGGGGAACCCTGGGACCCGCTAGAAGCGTCGCCTGAACTGGTCGGCGGGCCCATCCTCGTTGCCTGTGGAGCTCGCACCAACCTTCTGTTGACTTTCTTGTCCTGAGTCAGCTTTAAAAGCCTCTCCTTTCGTCCGGACATATTGCCTGCAAAGAAGAAAACCCGGGTTAGTTACGAGCAAGTAACAAACAAAGAAACTAGAACAAAACTATAAGACAAAAAGCAACCTAGTAGGTCCACGGCCTGCCCCTAGGACTGGAACTCGACAAGTGCCTTGGTATCTATAGGACGGGCCTCAAAGGTCGGGTAACCTTCCTCGTCAAGAATGTATTTCCCCTCCCTCGTGACCCATCGGGCAGGGAAGAAGTCGTCGACATACTTGCAAAGGGTATCGTAGGCTTCCTCATCCTCGACACTCATCCCTCCCGCGGGCGTATGGTAGTGCCCGGTACCATGCTCGTAATGGCACGAGCACCAATGCAACAGGAACTTGGATACACGCCCCAACATCGGGCGACCCTCGTCGTCCATAAGAGGCTCCTCGTTCTCGTCGGGCACTGCGGTCTCCTCTTCATATATAGAATCCAAAGCAGTCTGGGTGACCGGACGCACGACATACCATTTGTCCTTGAAACCCCGGACTGAATCCATGTACATCCTGAACAGCCTCTTCGACTGTTTCAGAGAAACCTAGCTATGCCTGCCTCCTCGAGACTGGCGTTGCAAGTGAAAAACTCTGAAGAAGAGAGGAATGGTTGCCCCGATCCTTAAGAAGCGACATGTCAGCTCGAACGCCCGAAGAAAGGCGATCGAATTGGGGTGAAGCTGCGAGGGGGCCAAGTCCAGATGACAGAACACCCCGATCTGGAAATCACTGAAGGGGAGCTTAAGGCCGAGGTCCTTGAACGCGATTTCATACATGGGAAAACCATACTCAGAGAACTCCGAGCAGATCCGCGCGTCGAGAGACGGCCTTGTGACAACATAGTTCTTCTGGAAGCCCGGTTGACTACCTCCGTGTTCGACGATAGCGTAGGCGCTCCGACTACGCCGACTATATGCCGAGGCGATCCCTCGGGGCTCGGCGCCCACCCAATCCAGCGAAGGATCGTCAACGGTATCGACTAGAGTTACATTCTCCTCGGCACTCTGGTCCTCGACCTCATTACGCCCCGAAGACTCCTGTTCGTCAGCCATTTACCTGCAAAGCACAGGAAACCGATGAAATTCGAGAGCAAATCCATATGCTCGCCATAACTGACGGGAAGTAGGGCACGACAAGCCAAGACACGCTCCGCGCGCGTTAAAACGTTGAGGACTCGAACAAGATCCTGATTTCGCCTCCCCGACGCTAAGGTGCCACGACGAGTTGTCCTACATACTTCCTAATGGGCCAACATCCCGACCAGCCATGGGCACGCCGACCTAAACTACGAATGTGACGGGAAATATCATGAATCCTAAACCTAAAACTATGGGTTTACCGAGCAGTATCATAGAATATGCGCCCAAAACCATGAAGGTCCCGGGCAGCATCGCGAGTCACATACTTAAGGCCATGAGCTTACCGGACACAAACATGAATATACCGGACACAAACATGAATGTGCCGGGCACATACATGAATGTATCGGGCGCTAATCCCAGATGTGGGTTTCTAACATCTAAATAACGGAAAAATTACCTACAACGAAGAAAAATAGGAGGGATAAACACTTACTTGGAAGTTAAGAGGAAGGTACGGCAGCGGTGGAGAAAATCAACGGAGGAAGGCACGGTAATCTTGCGAAGTTGTAGAGAAACGGCAGCGGAAAAGACAGAGGAAATGCGAGAAGCGCGAAGAGGAAAAACGAATCATGGGACCCAAGGATCCTATTTATAGGGATGACGTGGAATACGAAACGTCACCCCGGAGAACCACAGACTTCCCCTCCTCGACGTCTACTCCCTAGGCAATGATGGCCCTACTCTCGCTAGGATGGCATCACGGTTCCCAAGGGTTGCCTCGTGTACCCAACGAACACAGCCCGCGAGGAATTCCTCGAGCACGCATTAACAAGGATCACGCCACGAACGTAACTCATGAGAAATTTCTCGAGCAGTCACGGGGAAGCAAATATCCTAGGCCGGGCATTAGACCCCGTGGCAACGGCGAGCTGAGGTCAAGTCGTAACTCCTGCTCCAGGAGCCACGACTTGGGGGGCTCCTGTTCTAGACTGGGCCCGCCCTGGCCCAAAAGCGAGAACGAAGGCCCAATCCAAGCAACTCCTCGAGGAGCGCGCGCCCGAGGATTTCCGCCAGCGCGCCCGACCATAGACTGCAACCGTGCCCGCCGTTGCCCGCGAACATGGTGTCCCCGACCACGAGAACTCCAGCTCGAGCCCAGCTCGAGCACCCTCCTCGTAGGACAGATTCTGACCGTTACCAAATCACCTGAACTCCGGAAAGACCGCGTCTTCGTCCCTCCTCATTTCTCGCCGAGCATCACCAGAAAGGAGACCACGTGCGGGTCCCCACTATACACGTAGAACCTGGCAGTTCCTTTATTGGGCCAGTTCTAGTCGGCCCAATGAAGGGACCTTGGCCCCGCGTTGGGGGCTATAAATACCCTCTATTCCTAGAGGGTCAGGTATTCATCTCTTACCCATACATACGCTTTTTTGCCTGCTCATTCCGTCACTCATTTTAGCATCAGAATGCCTTGCAGGTACCCCCCATCTCACTCAACTTCTGCTCGGAGCCAGTCGTGACGGTCCAAGTCTGATCAGGTAAGATCAGTTAGTAATATACCTTGGCTTCTAGCCCCACTACCTTCTACCATATCTTTGCCTAACAATTCCTCGCATAGAGAATTGGATTGTTGAACCAACCCATTAACCGCCTTACCATCGACAGGGAAACCCAATAACATGTACATGTCATCTAGTGTGACGGTACATTCACCTATTGATAGATGAAATGTGTGTGTCTCGGGTCTCCACTTTTCCAACATTGCAAGTATAAACTTGAAATCAATCGTGCAGTTTGAGATTTTTATAACATTTTCAAAATCTGCATATTCGAGATAGGACACGATCAACGGATCGGGAGCAATGTAGTTGTGTGAGCGAATTCTAAATCTTTTAGTATCCTAAATTCAAAATATAAAAAGTGTAAGAGTCCATAAAATGACTAAATCAATAATAATTTTATAAAAAATATATTAATATACACGAATATTTGAATGGTATCGGAAATTTTAATTCTTCTATCGAAAATTTCGTCCAAAAATAATATACATCTCATCTAAAGGTAAAAATGGAATAAAAAAATTAGAGGGTGACATGTTTAATTTAGAAAGTGACTCTTTTAAGAGGCTAAGTATAATTTTAAAATCGAATTTTAAAGAGCTCGCTGTTTTCACCACATTTTACTTAAACACTCTTTATGTTATTTTTGTCTTTTTAAAACTACCCATACTTTACTAATTTATTCTATTCTTTAAAATATTATACAAAAAGAATAAGCTCATTATATCATTAATATAAAAGAAAAAAATAATTCATCCATAACTTGTGGTATATAGCAATATTATTAATATTATGAACATTGCAATGCCTGTTTCAAGCTTTCAACAATCTGACTCATTGATGGCCTATCTTCAGCATTCTTTTTCAAGCAACTATCTGCCAACTTAGCAACTTTCCTAGCTGCTTTAAGAGAATATTGTTTCGCGAGTCGAGGATCCATTATCAGGGTGAATCTGCCACTATCAGCAGGGTAGTTTTTAACCCATTCTATAAGCTTTTGTTGCGCTGCCGGAAGATTTCTCTCTATTGTTCGTCTTCCTGTGAGAATCTCATAAAGTACCACACCATAACTCCAAATGTCACTCTTTGATTTTAAGTGACCTGTTTCAATATACTCTGGTGCCGCATAACCCCTTGTCCCTACTACCTGGTAACAATCCAAAACAGAACAAAGAATTTTGGTGAACACATTGTTGGAATGTTCATATTGTTTTCTAGAGACACTTCTAATAAAAAATGTGTCTGGTGCTTGACACAAGTTAGTGTCTTACACCAACACGATTCTGTAGTTCATGTGTCAGTGTCATGTTTGTGTGTCTGATGCTCGACATGAGTTAGTGTCTTACGACACACCCTTGACACATATACTTATGTTATTTTCTCAAGTTAATTTAGTCGTTGACGTGTAAGTGTCATGTTTCTGTGTGTGCTTCTTAGCTAAAAAAAATGGTTGGTTGGCATCTATTGCACATGAATAGATTAGTCAAAGCAATTCTACCTGAATAGTAGTGCAGATTATAATATTTGAATGATAATTGTATATTTAGAAAGTGGTATATTATAAAATTAGCAGTCAATATACTATATTATCTAGACTTGAATAAGTAGTCCACCATGAAGTCAACTTACTGCAGTGGAGACATGAGTCTGATCACCTGTTGGGCCCTCCCTAGCAAGACCAAAATCTGAGAGTTTGGAATGGAATTTCTTGTCCAACAGCACATTTGAAGATTTAAAATCTCTGTAGATCACCTTCCCAATAAAACAACAATAAATACGAAACAATTACAAACCAAAATAGATACAAAGTACTCGCTCCGATAGTATTGGTAAGAAAAAAATAATAAATCTATCTGGTCTATATATCTTGTTCAAATACATTAGTTATTCAATGTATCAAATATGCATTAAGAATCTCTTTAGATTAACTTATTTAAAAAGCTAATGAAAACAAGATTATGAAAGGTCTCTATAAGTGCACATAATCTAACAGATATGGTCAACATATGTCAAACAATGATAGATAATTTCATTAATTTGCAACAACTAGTAGATACCTGAATCTCCAATCCTTCATGTAGATACTGTAACCCTTGAGCAGCACCAAGCATAATCTGCAATCTTATTTTCCAAGGCAAAGTAGGTAAAGAACGACTGAAAAGATGATCTTCTAAACTCCTATTAGGCATATACTCATACACTAATAACCGTTGAATCCCCTTTTCACCATCTACAGAACAATATCCCAAAAGTTTCACCAAATTTGGATGGTTCACAATCCCCAAAAATTGTACTTCTGCAAGCCACTCTTTATGCCCCTTTTACACACATTAAACATTAATCACATCAGAAAATCTCACAAACAAAACTTGTAACAACCTTAAATAATATCAAACATTAACAGACACGTAGATACTGGTAATAATTTAAACATAGTTATAAATGTCCGGTGTCTGACAACATGTCTTAAATTATATCTAACAATATATGTATACCTGAAGTCCACGAGTGTTGAGTTTTTTTATAGCTACCAGAACTTGGTCACCTATTCCATTTTCAGGAGAAATTGTGCCTCTATATACTTTCCCAAAACCACCTTCTCCAATTTTCAGCATCTTATTGAAACCATTTGTTGCATTTACAAGCTCTTGCACAGTGAAAATTCTGAAATTGTGTTCATTCTCTTTGTATATCTCTTTTATGCTTCTTGGTGATGGAGATGAATTCGCACTGGTGGAATTTTTTTTCTTCTTTTTAGCGTTTAAATTTGGGTCTGATTTGGATTTTTTATTGAAGAAGAAACACTTCATATTGTAAGAAATAATTGAAGATTAAAAAATGAGAAAGTGAATATATGAAAGATGGAAATTTAAAGAGGTTTTGTCGTTGTGTACCGTGTAGTCAAAGAAAGAAACCGTGTGAAAGTACAGAGAAAGAGAAAGAGGGAAGAAAAAGAAGTTGGAATGATAGATATAGAAGTGAAAAAAGTGTGTTATTTTGAGAATTTGTTATATTATTATAACAATAGGTTTGAAAGTAGGAAAATGAGTTAGTGTTTACATTACACCACATGCTTTGTTGGTTCCTCTTTGCCCCTTTTGAGATGACATTGAGTATTGACTATGAAAAGTGATGGAAATTATTTGTGGTGGTAGATGTGTGGAAAGTTTTTTCAATTGACGACCCAACTATGCTATTACTAGAAATTAGATAGCAATTCAAATGAAAATGGGTGAAGGACCTAGTTTGAATACAATAAAAATCAAACATATGAAGTAATGATTTAATTTACATACTCTATATTATAGTATTATGCTAAAGAGTTTTATAATGTTGGTCAATCACTGTGGTTAGATTATTAAAAGAAATCACATTCACCTCTCTCACAAGTTTTTTTTTACAAAAGCAAACTCAATTTATATTATTAAATAATTAATATAGAGGATTCAAATAAAGCACCGTGCGTTGAGACTAAATATCTGAATCTTTAGACGATAATTGAAAAATGAATAACTAACACTTTAGAATATTTCTCCACAAAGCATCTGGATCTTTATCTGACACTGTTAGATATTTGATATCCATCAATAACAGAACCAGATTCTGATACTAATTGTAGGTGTGAAAAAATGCAAGAAATGAGGGGTTTGAATTGAGTTTTCCTTTTTTTTTTTAAAAACTTTCGCTTCTAAGCATTATTCATTGAACAATGCTTCTGATTGTTGCTTCTAATTAATGCTTCTAATTTGGTTCATAAAACATAAACTATAAAGCATAAACAAAAGTAAATAACACGCGATATATCCTGATTCACTTGAGAAACCCCCAAGCTAATTTAATCCACCCTTCCGAGGTGATTTCTCCTTGAACTCGAGGACTTAATCCACTATAATCATTCTGATTACAATCGCACGAACAACTGTCGGAGACTAACATCCAATGAAACATTCAGGGATCCAAATATGATATAATGTTCATTGACCCAACATACTCCGACTCTCCAGAATCACTTATCATGATTTCCTTTCAATGATATCCATCACTGATATCAGAAGGCTGGCCTTCACTCAGTCTCTTTTGAGATATGACTACCATTGACCCAATAAAATCCACTACCAGGATTTCATCTACTATGGTCACAGCCAAAGTCTTCTTGATATCAGACTTTCACTCAGTCTCTCAAGGTATCATCAAAACACTGTTTGATTTACATTTGTTTACAATAATAATACTTCTGCACAAGTTGAATGTAAACAAAATTAAGCACATCAGAATATCCTAATACAGACTAAAAATATTACATTTTATTTTAGCTCTAATGTGTGATCTTTTTTTTTCTTAAAGTAGCTTTTTCATGGACAACAACTCAAATCACTTGAATTGTTGAAGTCTTTTTCTTCATAAGCTTCTGAAGGCTTTGTTGATCTTGATGTAGTAAAAAGAAGAACTTCTTCATCTTGATTCACCTTAGAACATTCTAGACAACAACCCTTGTTCTATATTCTTTAATGATCATTTTTTAGGACAATATTTGTGTTGTGGATTTGTAACTTGAACATTCATGATCATCTTCATTATCTTCTGTAGCTTATCAAGCTTTATGTAGTATATAAATTTACGTACATTGTGAATCAATGATTTCATTGTAATCATAAACAAAATGATTGGAGAATAATTTTGATGGCAGTTGGTCTTGTTGTTGTTATAGTGGTTGATAACTTTAGTTTTGTTCCAGCAAATGAATTTTATCTTTTAACATTGAACACCAACAACAGTGACTTGCAACTTTCAGTTTTTAGCATCCAACCAAGCAGCTTATGGCAAGCTCATAAATATTCAGCATCATGTGTTGAGCAATAGCTAACCAAGAACAACAAACATGCTAAACAAATAACTTTCTTTAAACATACGATTCTTTTCTTATATAGCCAAGCAAAATAGAGTCATTGACTATTTGAAAAAGAGTCATTACAAATATTACTACGACGTCCTTATCTCTTCCACACTTTAAGTTAGTGGAGAGGTAGTGGCATAAATCTTTTCGTACTGTGTACTATTATATTGTGTTACCGTTATATTCTTTCCATATGCACATCAGAGACTTCTACGAGCATGAGATTAGAAGCGAGAACATAACATATAGTCTTCAGAATTTCAAGTCTTCAGAGTCTCTAGTCTTCAGCACTTGGTTGTGAGAACCTGTTGTAGTGAATCTTTAGATCAGAAGAGCTTCAAGTCTTCAGAGTCTTGAGAAATGCGTCTTTAGAGTCTTCAGCACTTGGTCTTCATAACTTGTTTGTAGATAACCTTGGACCTTTAGAACTTCAAGTCTTTGGAATCTTCAGACCTTCTGTCTTTTGGAATATTTAGCACTTGGTTATTTAAGAATCCTTAACTTCAGAACCATGTTATTATAAACATAAAGTCTTTAGCATCTGGACTTCAGTTAGAAACGTTGTCTTCTTTGAAACAAGTTATCTTTTAGAAACTAAGTTTTTAGCATCTGGATTTCAGTAGAAACTTCGTCTTCAAATCTTCTAACTTTGTTTCTTGAAATGAATTGTCTTTTAGAAACGTGAGTCTTCAGCATCTGGACGTAAGTAACAACTTTCAGATCTTTTGACTGGTTTCCTTAGAACATGTTGTCTTTAGAAGCTTGAGTCTTCAGCATATGGACAACTTCTGTCTTCAGATCTTTTGACTGGTTTCTTCAGACAAATATCATAGTTTACACTTCAAAGCCTTATGGAGTGTCTTGCTACTGTTCAACAGAGCTTGTGTAGCATAGAAGCGAAATCATTTCTCTTCTAATGTCTTGGCCATGCTATCCATCAGAAGCATAAATTATTTGTTAAGTACTCAACAATAACAAACATTAGTATAAAATAATTGTTCATACAATTATACTCATTTGTTATCATCAAAACACAAAGATAATATTGCCGAACTAAATCTTGTTCTTACAATCTCCCTATTTTTGATGATGACAAAACTATGTATTTTGATAACATAATTTTGTACATATAATCATAATCAGTGAAGCTAGAAGGGTAAGAAATACTTATCCTTTTTATGATACTCCCCCTGAGTCAATGACTTGATGAAGATCGAATATCCTGACTCTGAACCATTTGAGTAAAGACTCCCCCTAGTTCCAATAGATCAGATATCGAGATCTTGAAAGTCTTGACTTTAGGAATTTCAGACAATCTCCGACTTCTGATTTTCTCTGTTCTTCTGGAAGACATATTCTTCTACTTTTGATTCTTATGTTCTGATTATCACATTCTCAGACATGATACATCTTTTAAACATTATGATACCAAAATCAAGATAACTTTAACTTTCAGAAAGTTCTCATCTTTTGAACAATATTGAGTCTATTTGATTCTTGAACATATGTTCAAAGAGTACACATCTTCCAATATATGAACAATCAGTTCTTAAGAACTTTAACAGAGTTCTTTCATTTTGACCTGTCTTAGAATGCCTAGTGAAATTGTTCAGAGTTCCTCGGTTAATTATCAAACAGACAAGCACACGTTAGTGGTTAAATGCATACCATTTTATATCATTCTATTATTATGATGAGTTTTTGCATTTCTTTTAGGTTCATCAAAATTATTATACTTTCTCCCCCTTTTTGTTATCACCAAAAATATAATTACGTCTTTTGGAATGCTGGTTTGCGTTTTGCGTTTTTTTTTGAAAAATGTCGCGGTAAGAAAGAGTCGCCACCGACTTTTATTTTATCCAACAAGGAAAGGAAAAAAGCACAGAAAAATTCCTTTTTCGAGATGTTTCTCGGGTTCGAGGGGTAGATTATAGAAAGGGAAGGTGTTAGCACCCTTTCTATCTGTGGTTATCCACGGGCTCTTAGGTACTTGCTCAATTGTTTTCAAAATTGCTTTCTTTGTGCTTGTGGGTTTGAAAAATTTTTTGTTTGAAAACTTCGATTTAACTCTTGCTTCTGTCCTCAAGAGTGTAATGAAGTGTTTTTGAAAACTTTGTTTGAAAAGTGTAAGTGTGAAGAGTTTTGTTTTTGAAAGAGCAAGTACTTAAGAACCATCTACCTACTCGAAAAAGGAATCGTTCTATGCTATTTTCCTTTAGACAATGCCATCCTACTATTGATGAGTAGGTAGCACCGTCGTTGGATTTTAAGGGTCAATTCGAATTTAGGGACTTACGGTCACCAAAGCAATGTTAGGACGCCTTAGCAGTAACCCTAATGTCTTAGATCATTTGTTTTGAGGCAACAATATCTGAGGCAACCGTTTCGAGGCAACTTATGATCTTTGGACAAGAGGGCGACCTCTAAAGTGACCTATACTCAATGACCGCGTACGAAGGCAACCAAGTGGGGTGTACCCTAAGAGTGCGCATGTGCGAGTGTGTTGTTTTCAGTTATTTTTTTTGTCTTTGTACATGTTAATGGTGATCTATGTTGATTTTAGGTTAAAACATTCAGTCTTGTCATGCATCCCTATTATCAAACATCTAACAGTTATATTTTGCGGAAAATAAATTGTGGAAATTAAATTACAAGGCGTCGGGTATTTACATCGCCAAAAGCAACCCTTTGAAATTTAAATACGGAAAAATAAATAAAGCGATAAAAAAAATTAAATGGTCCTAATTATCTATTACATTCTGGGAACAAGTACAATATTGAATAAATAGATCGCGTGCAGAAAATTAAATCGAGTGCGAGTTTAAGGTTTTGACCCTTTGTTATTAAAGAAAAGATATTTTTGTTGTTTTAATTTTAAGAAAAAGAAACTATCCTAAATTAATTATTAAGTTAAAT